ATCGTGGTTTGCTAGAGGAGTCGATGCTTAGACAAGTAAATAAGATTATTCTGAGAAATATTCGAAGGAAGGAATGCTATACTAAAGCAGGGTCTTACAGTAATAATCCTCGAGTAACTCTATTCCGAGGAGAAACGTATCATTACCAACAACCAGACGACATGCAAGAAGCAGTTTGTTTACTGTTGGACAGATTTAACTCTCTTTTCACGGACTCTATGAGTAAAACAGACGAAGTTGAAAAACTGCAGGGCATTTTTAAGAGTGTTGCTTGGCTAGTATTCGAACTTTTAGACTTACATCCATTTTCTGATGGAAATGGAAGACTGTGTAGGCTACTTTGTAGCTACGTTCTCTCTACTTGTACCCCTTTTCCATCCCCCATCTACAACATGTACAGCGATTCAAGCAAAAATGATTTCGAGAATGCCCTCGTGGACGCYAGAAAGTCTGAAACGAGACATCCTTGTGAACTAACGACCATGATCATTGAAAGTAACTGGGAAAGTTGGAAGAACTTGGAGAAATACTGTTTTGGCTCTTCCAAATCATGCGATCAAGCTACTCATACCTCAAGTGAAGATTCCCGAGTCACGAGTTTGGATAACTCGCATTCTCGCCCAAGCATTTTGATTGCAAGTTGTGCRTGAATCTTGCAGGCATCYATGCCAAACATTCTGCTATGCGACTGAGTTGTATTACTACCATTATCACTTACCTCAAATTCTTGACACCTTTTTTTAAGAATGCTTAATAGAGCTGACGTTGACATTTTACCACAAGAAATGTTTTTCCATTTTCCTCACTAAAATACCTACTCTATTAAAGAAAGTGTCTGTGTATTTGATTGTCACATTACCATGTCATGCTTGCAAAGAAACCAATTTTACACCATATACCAGCTTTCCACATTTCCCTGCAATACATTYGGCCARTAAAATTGCAAGCGATTTGTGATTGCAGCAGCAAATCTCACTACAGAGAAGTCAAAAAACTTTGACTAAGTGACAATGGTCCAGCATGCAGCACAGTAAAGCCAATCCATTTTGGATGTTTTTTTTTTCAGTTATGAAAAAATTAAAGTTTAAAATTGAAATAAAGGATAATTAAGAATTTTGGTTGCATTTAGTGAGTCATCATGATTTGTGTATGTGTAATGTGGCTAAATGAAATTTAGGCGAAGTTAAAATCGAGACAATGCATGCTGCTCAGCGGTCTTCCCAACAATGTGCGGGAGGGACCCAGGGCATTATCAGGGGCTTACTTGCCGTGTTTGCAGTGCTGGTGGATTTGCACCAAGAGTTTTTCTCCCACCCTCCCTCTGCTAATAGGTTCTCTACAGGTGAGTATATACTCCACTGAATCTCAGTGTGACAGGTACCGGTGGTGAGCTGTGGCCCCAGTTGCCATGGTTACCTTCCAGCGGGGACGCGATCTGTCGCAACCCGAGCTCGCCCTGGTACCTAACCCCAACTCATTTGTCGATGAGTTTAATTTTTATTTTCCAATTTTAGACCAAGTATTATTTCTTTTGTTTATCTGCAGTACAAGAGAGGACACAATAGTGGGGATGTAACTTGAACAGTCGTACTCCTAAAACATAGAAAATATAGTGTAGGTCTATTTCCTTTAGCTCCAGAATAGTTGAAT